GGGTGAGGGCCTGGCACCATCTGCCGGGAAGAATCGGTGCACCTGGCTCAGCGCCTGGGCCACAGGGATACGCTCCCACCATCCACAGCAGCACCAGGGCAGCAGCGAGCAAAACCAGAGCAGCCCCGAGGCTGCTTTAACGTGCCGCAGGGTGCAGGCAGGTTGCCCAAAGTGCGTGCACCACGACCCAGGCAGGTTGCCCCAAATGCGTGCACTAGGACCGGGGCAGGTTGCCCCAAGTGTGTGCACCAGGACCCAGGCGGGAGCACTGGTTCAATCGGCCTCCTCACAAACCCTGATCGCACCCCCGAGCCTGGGCAGGGGCAGCAGGAGGAGGCTGCGGGGCTGGCATGGGCTTGCAGGGAGGGGGAAAGCGTGGCAAAAGGAGCAGGTGGCCCTCCTGGGGGGGACTCCCAGCTCCTGGCGCAGGTCCGAATTGTGCGGGTACGAACCAGACCCCGCAGGCGAGCGTGCGCAAGGGGGGCCTGCGCCCCCCAGGCCGAACCCGCTTGCCCCTCTCCTCTGCCTGCAGAGACATGGACCTCAGCCACGCTGCGTGTGGCAGAGCTCCCCGTGCCCGGGGCTCCCATCACCAGGCCCACAGTGCCCTCTGCTGGTGCCACGGGGCTTTCCATGTTCCCGCACACACCAGCACGTGGGCACACGTCCACCCCGGCACGGTGCTGATTCTGGATGGGGCCTAACGAAGGCCGCCGTTTCCCGGCCCTCTCCCACACATCGCCCCCACACCCGGGCTTCTGGGGGCCCCAAGCATGAGGCCTGGGGCACGGGGAGTGCCCCGGGTGGGGGCAGCCGAGTGGGAAGAACTGGGGGGGGTTCATCCCCATTTTTCCCATTCCTTCTGCCCCCCACCGGGCAAGAGGTGGGATGTGGGGCCTGGCAGAAGCCACGTCCCAGGGCGCAGGTGGCAGATCCGATGGGCACCCGTGGTGCCCAGGGGCTCCTTCCTGGCCCAGGGGTGGGCTGGGAGCCACTGCCTGGGCCGCAGAGGCGACCCTACAATAACACGCGCCGCGGGTAACTACAGCCCCCGGCAGCCCCCGCGGCCCGCCAGCCTCGCTCTGGGCACTACATAACCCAGCATTCCCCGCGGGTCAGCCAGCCTCGCTCTGGGTACTACACCACCCAGCATCCCCCGCGCGCTGCGCTTCCTTCCGGCCTGTCCGCGCGGGCCATTGTGGGCCTCGCAGTCCGCCCGGCTCCCAGCGTGCCCCGCGTCGCTCGCCCTTGGCGCCCGCTCCGGCTCGGTCATGTTGCCCACCCGCCTTCTCCTGCGGCCTTTGGCCCGCGCCCTGCGCCCCCCGCCCCG